GAGACAAGCTGTAGAAGGAAAAGTAATAATTATCAAAAGAAAATTTGTTGGTTAACTTTTATGAGCTTAAATGTCTCGCCAAGCCCAAAAGCAGCTACTGAATTATCTAACCATCTATTTCAAGCCGGCGTGCAAACGTCTCCTCTCGTATTTCCTTTGTCGCCACAGAAATATATCCGCGGAGGTCACACTCCTTGCCCTTTTCTATACCCCTGTTGCATACCTTCAATTGACAAATGGTACCCCTTTCACACACTAGTTTCTTCAATTGACAAATGGTACCCCTTTCACACACTAGTTTAGACAAATGCAGAGTTTTTAAAATATGAATGAATCGCCAAATCAGAAAGTTTTCACGATTTTTTCACAGCCATAAAATGCATACGCGAATCCATAAACATTCATACTCGGCGACTGGAAATGAACCGTGAACAGGGCTACAACCTTCCCACAATTTATGGAATAATTTTGTAGCTACATCAAAACAAGGCTGCGAAAAACAACAAACGTCATCACTGATGAAGGTATCCGGATGGATCCTAAAAGCTCCTCCAAACTTTCAACCAATTGTTAGTGTTTAAGAATATTTTTTATAATATATTGTCCAACAGACGAATCTCCGTTCTGTTAACTGTTAGCCATTTTAGAAGTCTTTACAGACCAATGTGGTATATTTCCCTCCCCATTAATAAACTGCAACTAATGAAATCCCCACCATTTCTGTGTACCTGAAACCTGAAAAAGGTTCCCCTTTCGGGTGGAGCCCCTTCATATAGGCCATTGTAGGGACTCCCGACTTTTCTAGGGGAGCACCTGCACCGATTATACAGGTCTGTCTCATTCCCGTCTGTTAATCAAGACAGATGGAAGATCCTGTCTCATAAGACTTTCATCACTCTAAATCATCTTCTGAATTATCTATCCATCTATTTCAGGCTAGCCTGCAGACGTCTCCTCTCCTATTTCCTTTGTTGCCACAGAAATAAATCTGTGGAAGTCCAACCCCTTACCCTTTTATATACCCCCTTTCGTATACAGTGTACCTTTTATTGAAAAATGGTACCCCTTTCACACACTAGTTTATCACGCTGCATCACTGAATTTTGTTGTTAGGTACCCCCTTGGGCGTCCGCCATGTTTCGGGTCCCAAAGAAGTGTTGAGAAATAATCTCTGAATAATAAATCTGAATAATTATAATTTAAATTTTTTTACCTGATTTGAGTGAAACAGCTATCCAGGAATTTTGAGCTGATTATGGGAAGGAGCACAGTACTGGTCAGTTGCTCTAGCTCATGGAGAGTTTCCACTGGTGAGTGGGTACCCTGTTAATGAATCAATCATGACAATAATCAAAATTAATTTTGCAACGTGTACGCATCTTATATTACAAGACTATGGTTGTTTATAGAAGCAGCCTTCATTTAAATCTCGCTGTCTGTCCTATATGTCACATGTACCTGCTCAAGTGGCTTAGTATAGAAAGCGGTTAAAATAGCAAGAGATCCAGAAAGAAGACACAGGTTTTCAGGCTGGTAAAACAAAAAGACATGAAGCAAATATCAGTAATAGTAGCACTAAAAACATAGTAATATAGTTATCCCCATGAGAAACATTTCTCTTGGGTGCAAGCTAACTACGTAAATGACAATTGTGACACAAATGACTCTGCAAATGCTAAAAGCCATGCTGGAAAGAAACCTCCGCTTACAGGGTATACTATGGAATACTAGTACATTACAGGGTCATCACCAACAGTATGTCGTCTTGTACATTATGCTCCTGGGTGAAGACAAAGAAGGCTAATGACAGTTTCTTGTCATAGAAAGCTAGTGAACATCACAGAATGGCCTACCATTGATACCTCCACAATACAGTATATACACTACATGTCTATTTATAGCATGCGTATTCTCTGTACAGTACATTACATATTTCCAATTGAGCTGGTGAGGACAATTTGTTCTACAATCAATACCTTTTTTGCTTTGTGATCATTTCCTATATTCTCCATGACCTTTAATATGTTTTTTTAATTAATGTCATAATATACGGTACTTTATGTACCTGAAGAGTTGTTGTATCTGAATCCACAATCTCCTTAACCCATTTAGTCATAATTGCACCAATCAGAGGCAGGAATCCAGTCACATGACTCCAGTTCAGGGCCAAAGGTGGCAGAGAATCTATCCCATGGTGCTCCTCAGTAGTTGATGCATTTCCCTTAGCCTTGTGGTCAGCAGATGTACTAGCAGCATAAATGGCAGCTTCTATGACACCAAATACAGCAGTGGCACAGGAAAGCTCTGCTTTTCCTTCAGGCATGGTCACTAAAATTGACAGACTTTGAACTGATTGCAGATGTTCTATAAAAGCCGAGTACATTTCCCTGGAATTAATAAAAAAAAAGGAAGCTAGTAACACCATCGAGGCTTCAAGAGTTCTTAAAATTCTGCCATTTCATCCTATGCCTGAGTGAAGTATGCTTTCGCTGGGGCAGTTGAAGAGCTGAGGTCCAAATAATGGCTGGTCAACAGACAATGTTCAGCCAAGAATGACCATTTGTTTTGTCCAGACAAACTCTCACTTTGCTTGTCTTTTTGGTGGAACACGCAAAGAAGACACCAGAAAAAATACAGGTTTCAAGACAAAAAGCATTTTCACTTTTAATTGTAGGTTTTTTTTCTTGTTAGGAATAGGTAGCTCAAGTTATTATTGTCAATGTTATTTGTAACATTTTGACGGGTAAAAAGAGAGATGTGCCTGAACTAAAATTTCTTAGGCTAGTCCACAAGACTAGCAAGAGTCTCAAATTTATTTTTTTTTTAGTCCTGTACAGCCCTTTTACATAATTTTCAAAACCAGCAGTAACAAATTTACCAATATTTGTTTTGTAATATAAATTTTGCTATTCTCCAAACATTCCAGTTCCACCGTGGTGGCTGCCAGGCCTCTTGCCAAATTACCACTGAAAGGACATACATGTATAAGGATTGACGGTGAGCGAGGTTGGCGCAGTGATGAGGGCACTTGCCTCCCACTAACGCTGCCCGGGTTTAAATCTCAGTGTCGACACCATATGTGGGTTGAGTTTGTTGTTAGTTGTCTACCCTTGCTCTGAGAGGTTTTTCTCCCAGTACTCTGGTTTCCCCCTCTCCTCAAAAACTAGCATGTCCAAAATTTCAGTTAGACCAGGTATTAGGTAGACGAAGAACCACTAAGTAAGTGCTACCTGTAAATTGTTACTTATTTATTTAATTATTCATGAGCAATTGCTCGATTTGAAGATTACCTGACGGAGTCACAACCCAAGCCATACAAAACACATACTCTCCATGTCCGCAGGCTTTCAATGTACAGTGCATATGCCTCCTGTAGTTCAACCTGCATGTTACCAGGGGTTAGAGCTGTGTAGCGCATAAGTGGGTCAAGTAAATTGTACTTTGAGATCTGTCAATGAAAATAGCAAGGGTTACATCACAAACATGTAGGTTTAACGTCCACATCTGATCTCTTCATTTCTCTCAGTGTGTTTAGTTACTGTCCCTCTGATCTTACACCATTTTCCTCCAAAGACCATAAACATGCACCATGATGGTGGGCTGCCATTTTGGATCATGTTTGACGTAATTCTGTCTGATGTGAAATAAGCAGAAAGTTCATGTGGCCAGAATGTTTCACACTATTTTGTTGCTAAGATTACAGTGTACATTGTTTCTTTTAACTAGAAATATGCCCCCCCAAACCTCACGAAACTCAGTATGAATAGTGCCACTCAAGTTAAGTCCTGATAAAAGTAGGATACTTAACTCACCAGCATTGCAGCCATGTGCCTTCCTGTACAACAAATAGACCTAACAAATCGCATAGCTCCACTAACTGGCTGACCGTTCACAGATCCATTCATTTCCTCAGACGTTTTCCAGGAGAGAGGAAGAAAGTTAACAAAGATGGCTTCCACAAGTCTTGGACATTTAATGACTTCACTTGCGACTTGTGTAGAATGTTGACAAATTCTCGTGAGAATATCCAGAATGTCCTGAACTGCAGGGGCTGCTGGACAACAGACTTCAAGTATGTATCTTAGTCTCGGCAATATACTCATCTGAATCAGTCCCTGGGAATATTCAAGAACATCACGATATCACAACAGTCTAGAATATGTAATATGCCTCTCAGGTCATTCTTCAGACTGATCTCTATAATTTTCTCAAAGAATTATTTGACAGAATTTAATAAAAGATGAAATTATTATTTTGCCTAAGGTGATCATTCTCTTCTGGTTGAAAATTTACTTTTGATCATCTAATTTACTTCATATCTGATCAGTAGCACTACCCGACCTGAGTAGGGACACTTCATCAGTATGGAATATCTATCCTTGTTCCTGAGACACCATTATGCTGCGAAACAAGTGGAAGCATTGGTTTTCTCAGGCTAACTGTTGTTCCCTTTTATTTTCCAAGGCTTTATTGTGTTGACTGCATTGTTTTCTTTCTTTTACACCACTTGTAAACATTACAGGCTCTTACAACAAGGATAAACTGATTTTCTTAATTACCAATCCACTCTGCAGACTATTGATTTTTTAAACCCAAAAAGTCTCTAAATTGTAATCATTCAGCCTACAAAAAGCCTTACACACAATATGTATGCAGTGGTATTACTATTGAGTTCATCTCATGCAGTTTTTGCCCAGTTTTAGCTCAGTCTGCATTGCTACGTAGCTACGTACTTTAACAACATCTTGTTTGAGTAGCTCAGCATCTGTCAATCCCTTTTCTCCTTCTTCCTCTTCATTAGACCTTCTTTGTTCTTTCTCATTAACAGGGCTCAATGCTGGAAGTTCATGTCCACGTGGAAAGCTGAACAACTTATCAGCTAATTCCTACAATGAAAGGTCTGTAAGTATTTAGGGATTATTCTAAGAAGGAACCCTCTACAATTAACCTATTCGCTCCTGGAGATTTTGCCGAAAAATACGTTTTGAAGCTAGTCAAGTGGTTTTCAGGTCACTGTCGTGCTATAAAAAGCTAAAACTTACCACAAACCAGTTTACTGGTCGTACACTTCGTGGCCTTCTGATCCAGATGCAAAATATCAGCTTACGAAGTTCGGGCACACGCAGAAAGCAAAATTTCGAGATAGTTTTTGGGTTTAAAAGTGACACAGCAGTCTTGAGTTTTACTTTTTGCTTTCTCTCCTCCCCTCTTTTTTTGCTTTTCTTGCCTCATTTTCTTTCTCTTGCTGGGCATTTAGTAGGCTTCATTTTGGTGGGAAGAGTTTTTAGGAAAGCTTTTAGGATCTTAGGATTAGGTGAAAGGAAAGGTAGGTGAGCAATGGAACAGGATTTTCATGGAGATTTTCAGTTCAATGTCACGTGGTTTTTTGCTTCTTTCTCCGGTGTCCTTGACTGAATTGTGCTCATTCTGGTATGGTTTGAAAGATCTCTTCACTCTGCACAAGTTAGCGAACAAAGTTGTCCTTGACCATTAAAACTGATGACGTCACAAAGGGTAGAAAAAACGTGGATCAGCACGGGCGGTTACAGGTGGTTCAGGGGCGAATGGGTCAAGGAAGTATCAAGGTGCTGGGAAAATGCCCTTGTTCTATACTTCACAGGAGCAAATCATGCTGAGCTCTTGATTACTACAAAGTGGTTTGTGTGGGTCATAAGTACTGTTTTAACTTTTTTTTCAACTGAACCTGACATGGGAACCAAAACCATCCACCTGTATATCCAGTGAACATTCTCTTAATTCTCATGATCTGTATTCAGGGCTCAAAATTGCGACTAATATGGTCGCCAATGCGACTGACATTTTCTCCTTGGCGACTAAAAATTCTGGTTTAGAAGCCACTTTGGAGACCAGATTTAGATTTCAGCATTTCAAAGAAAATGAAAGTTGGAAATTTAGTTGTTTGGGAGTGACAGGGTTAATAATTATGCATACCTTGTCACTTGGCACAACGAGGATAGCAGTAAAACACTGAATGGCAGCTGCTATGACAGCATCGGAGGAGTCATCTAATGCCCATCTGAGAAGAAACAGAACTCCTGCATCAAGAAGAACGGACACTATATTGTCATCAAGATGCTCTTGAAATACACCCAGCTGAGCCTGGAAAAGAATTCAGAATGGAAGATGCAAAACAGGTAAGCCTTGCAGTTAATGAAAGCATATGCGCCATGAGAGGTTCACTCATTTGCAAACTNGGGAAAATGCCCTTGTTCTATACTTCACAGGAGCAAATCATGCTGAGCTCTTGATTACTACAAAGTGGTTTGTGTGGGTCATAAGTACTGTTTTAACTTTTTTTTCAACTGAACCTGACATGGGAACCAAAACCATCCACCTGTATATCCAGTGAACATTCTCTTAATTCTCATGATCTGTATTCAGGGCTCAAAATTGCGACTAATATGGTCGCCAATGCGACTGACATTTTCTCCTTGGCGACTAAAAATTCTGGTTTAGAAGCCACTTTGGAGACCAGATTTAGATTTCAGCATTTCAAAGAAAATGAAAGTTGGAAATTTAGTTGTTTGGGAGTGACAGGGTTAATAATTATGCATACCTTGTCACTTGGCACAACGAGGATAGCAGTAAAACACTGAATGGCAGCTGCTATGACAGCATCGGAGGAGTCATCTAATGCCCATCTGAGAAGAAACAGAACTCCTGCATCAAGAAGAACGGACACTATATTGTCATCAAGATGCTCTTGAAATACACCCAGCTGAGCCTGGAAAAGAATTCAGAATGGAAGATGCAAAACAGGTAAGCCTTGCAGTTAATGAAAGCATATGCGCCATGAGAGGTTCACTCATTTGCAAACTGAAGGACTGCTGAGGGTTACAGCCTTGGAAATGATGCACGTTTTTCCACGCAAACCTGGCAAGGTTGAAAATAGCGAGACATTATACAATTTGTCAAACAACCTGAAAAAAACTTGTAGTATCTGTGATACTAGTTAAAAAAAATTAGCCTGAGAAAACTGCTCACATTATGTGATGCCACTAGTGGTTTGTTTCCCCGCAAAATGACCTCTATGGAACAAGGGCAGAAATTCCATACTGATGACATGTTGCTACCCAGATCTGGGGCCTCGTGCTTCTGAATAACAACAACAATTATTGTTGTGCTTAGAGGCAAATCTCCTCAAACCATTCAGAGCTGGAATTTCTGCACTCACTCGTTAGACCTCATATTGATCTGAGGGAAACCAGTGGCACGTGGTGTCATGAAATTTTGGCTGTTTAATCAAGCTAGTTGAAAAAACCTTGAGAGACGCTAATACCTGTCTTATGATCCTAGCCAGGACTTGTAGGGCCAACACCCGCTGCTGCAAAAAACTGCTTCTTGCCAAAACAATCAACTCCTCAAGAGTGTAACCTGCAGAGCTTGGGTCATCGCCATGGTGATGGAGACCCAGATACTCTGGAATGTCATCACTTTGGTTGACTAGATTGCCATGAAAGTCAAAGCGAGCTTGCCTTCCTTCCTGTAGGGATACATGTATAGATAAGATATCTTTTATTACACACTAACAATCAGAACTTCAGCTATGTAGGTAACATTCATTATCAGGCAAAAAGCATTCAGTCTAGGGCGAGTTCCATTGGGATCAGGGATCTGAGATCACTCGGATCATAGATTATCAAGGAACCAACAAATCCACTCTGAGAAAGGACTGATTTGCTCATTTGATGTATGATGTATTATGCATCAGTGATCGATATCCCTGATCACTGATCCTGATTTTGATCACCCCTAGTTTGATTCAGAATTTCCTTTGTTTCCTACCAATAAAGGAGACAAACAAGGAAAGTCTGGTTTAACTTAAGAATGGATTTTCTCTACAACATTGCCTCTTGGCAAAGCTCGTGTTCTTTGATGGGTTTCATATGATGTTCAAAGAATTAAAATCAAAGCTGTTTTGGAGGAAGGGTCATATAATCTAAACTGTTCATTCCTTCTCCTCCCAAGTGAAGTTTATTGACTCTTAATGTCATGCATTGCTCCTCCCCACAAGAAAAGAGCAGGAGCATTGTGTGATGACACAATTAAAGAATGCCTGCAAAGGAGACTTACAATAGCTAACTAGAGAGAAAGATAAAAAATAATTAATGTATATACCTTACTTTCCACAGCACTGGGTGTCTGACAGTCTTTCATCCATTCTAGCTTCTCGGTTTCCACAGTACCCATGTGAAGCCACTTACTGGAAACCTCCATATCACCAATTGTTATGCAACCATCTGCTGTTGAATGATCTGATATCGTTTCTTCTTCATTATCTGGTTTTATTATTTCAACATTTTCACTGAAATGCACATGTTTCCCATCATGGTTAGATTCTATATCCATTGCACAGCTTGTAATATGTCCATGGAATTCACCTCCATTGCTCCTCTCCATGCTTGTATCTGTATGTGTTCTTTCATCTTCGTTTTTCCTCTGTCTCAATGTTAAAAATGCAACAAGACTTGGATCTGACAAAAAGAAAGTCACACTAAGAAATGTGTGGTTTCATAATATGTAAAAGACATCTGAATGTTTCAAAAGAACTGCAGCCATACATGTACATGTAATTAGACATCATGAACCATCTGCTAACAGTATCACCGGCCACATTTAATACAGTTGACTCCCCATAACTTGAACCTTCTAGGGAAATCGGAATAAGTTCGAGTTATCTGGAGTTCCAAGCAAATAACCGGAAGTAAGCAAAAAAACGAGGGGGGAATGCAAGTATCACGCACACTTCACAAGGATGGACACTGAATTTGAACTGGAGTGACAAGAAAAGTAACGACAAAGAAATGACACGGTTGTTTTGAAATAAATTCAGTGCTTCGGACTTCAGTACGGTGGTACACTGTTTTTTTTTTCCAACTTGTCACACTCTAAAAACATGGTTTGAGTTATCTCGATACAAATAATCTGAAGGGAAACAAAAATTACTTCGAGTTTGCGGGAGGTTTGAGTTACCGAGGGTAAAATTACAGTAAAAAGTATGAAAGAAATCCAGGGGAAATCGACTTTGGTTCGAGTTAGCGTGAGGTTCAAGTTAGCAAGGGTTTGAGTTATCGGGAGTCAACTGTACATGTATCAATGGTAAGTGCAGAATGTACAGAGATGAGAGGTGTGGGAGGTGCCTGTGAGGCTGATGGTAGCATCCACACAGACACTGTCACACTGCTAATCAGTGGAAGCTAGCATACTTACTATATACTTACCAGAGGCGGGGGTGGGGTGGGGGGAATTTTGAAGGGTAGAGAGCAGGAAAAAAAACACTTTGCAAGCTAAGCACAAGCTAGGAAAAACAATCACACCCCAATGTAATGGCCTGACCTCAAGAGAATGGCTGTTAAAAAACCATGAGCCCCTGCAATGGGATAAGGGCACCCCAGAATAACTCCAACAAGAAAGTACTGGCCAGAAATGTCTCCACAGTGTAGTTTAACTTAGCCTAAATTTCATTTAGTAGCCATAATTTAAGTGATGTACGTGTATGCAGAAGCCATTGATTTATCCAGCAGTTAGTGTTAGCCATCTTTTGAACAATATTAGGGCCTGAAGATGTGATAATGATAATGATGATAATGATAGTGGTATTTATATAGTGTTCATAAAAACATTTCTAAGCACTTTACATAACTTTAAAAATTAAGCAATATCCTAATTACAGCACAAATATAGAAATAACTAATTAAGCAAGCTAAAAAAGGTTTGTCTTTAGCCTAGACTTGAAAAATTCTAAACTATTTGCACAGATAGAAGACTCTTACTGTGTCACCATGGTGACATGTACCTCCTAGCACCCTTTCAGGTTTTGTCTGCTACACACACCCCTCCCCTATGCAGCATCTTTTTCCCGGCTCACCTCTGTTGACCAGTGTAACCGTAACAAGTTTTACGCTTAGCGTAATTTCTAGGCTTACCTAAGGAAGCCTTTATCCTGGCTTGTTCCTCCAATATTTCCTCATGTGACATGGATTCTAGTTTAGCAACGTTCTCCTTATGTATTTCTTCAACTTCCTTATTTAAAAGCATTTCTTTGCTACCAGATTGCATAAGACCCTCTCCAGAGACAATTGAAGAATTGAGAAATTGTGGAGCTTGAGGAGAATTAACTTTGAGAGCCTCACTTGTTTTTGTTTTAAGCTGTGAATTATCCCTCTTACGTTCTTTGACACCAAAGGTAATGCCTCCTGAAGCTGCAAACTGTTGTGCAAATAAGCTCCTTTTGCCTGCAGAGTTATTGCCTTTGGTTGATGATGACTTCTGTTGGAATATAGGTACATGTACATGAACTCAGTTACCCCTTTAGGTCCCAAGAGTGACCAACATCAATTTTCTCCTAACAACATCAGCAGATCATCAAGAAAAAAGGCTATGAGAATTACTAGATTGATTACCAAAAGGAAAAACACTTTGATCTTAAGCCAAATTCTCTCAACTATTCTTAAAGGAAATGTATGGAGATAAATCTGGAAAATTTGTTTGTGGATCTTGGGGCTTAAAGGGTTAATACACCATAGAACACACTAGAGATGTAAATGAAATATATCAGAAAATAACAAGCTTCAGTGAGACAATTATTTAAATCAGTATGTGTGGTTAGGCAGCTTTAAGATTTTATAATGAATTTTAAATATCAAAAAACTCAGCTTCACTCCATAATTAAGAAATTCAACTGAATTTTAAAAACCGATTTGTATGAAGTAGATTCATGGTCAAAAAATTAGTAATCACCTGATCAGTTATATTTCCACGATGAAGAGCTACAGGGAATCCCCCTTCAGATACCTCAGGAGCTCGGATACTTCCATACTGAATTTCCCTCTCCTTAAAATGAAGAAAAACAATCTTCATTAATGTAATATCTTGACTTTTTCAATACAAACTATGATCAATAATTATAGTACACCATTTATACATGTATGCCAATAGGCTTTTAGTGTTTTAGGAAAAAGAATTAATTTGACAAAAAGTCATACCATAATACATATACACATACACAATGCACATGTATATGTTACAGGTCAAAATTAAATTCAGGCTAAAAATTTTTAACCTAGGTTGATTCTCAATGTCTTTTGTCTCCTAGCTAGCCCTGATCAATTTTAAATTTTATGAACAATTGGTGGAAAGAGACAAAGGAAATTGAGAATCAACCTAAGTTAAACAATTTTAACTTGAATTTAATTTTGACCTGTAACGTATAAACATTACCCCCTGGAGACAACAGAATGTACCTCTCTAATAAGTAGAAATAGAACTTATGCATGTTGTGTTCAATTTTTTTCCTGGATCTAATTTTACTTTTCTTTGCTTAAAAGTCAATGATACATTAAAATACCAGAAGCAAAGGAGATAAAATTTGAACAAAGAATAATTGATCCACTACATGTACAATGTATGTACCTTAATTTGAGAGAGCACTGAGGTAACATGTCTGTCATGAACTGCCAAAAACAACAATAAAATACTTTTAAGTAATGTTTACATAGTTGATACTATTATATTTAACGATCTTGTACATTTTGCTAGTATTATACTTTTCCTCTTTGTGAAAAGCCTCTAGTGTAAGGGGAAATCAAATGGGTGATGATCTCTCATTAAGTGATATTAATTTGATCACAATATTATTTTCATTCTTGCAGCCCTAACCTTCTAAAGATAATTTTTGGGTGGGGGAGGTAACAACAAAAACTAATATAGAGGCATGGAAATGCCCTTATCTTGAACAGAACTCAGCAGGTTTACTCATGTTTTATATGGTGTTCTGTACTCAAAGTTTGTATTATTCAGACATTTATACTACTACTACACGAGAAATTTCTGCAATTTGATTGGCTTAGAGCAGTGGTATTTCAAGTTTTAAATTTAAATTAAAATTTGATAAACCTACATGTGAAAATTACAAACCTTTTGCAGGTAGTAGTATAAACACATAATAGCATGATTTGTACGTGATATTTGGCATAAATACCACTAGTCAGATATTTCAAAATTGTCTCAAATTTCACTTACCTAACAGCTCGTGAAATTACGTATAACAATTTCGAAATATCACTACAAATCATCCTATTACCTATACTAACTGAATTAAAATTAACCTGCCATTGGAATAATTAAATTACTTAATACCTACTGTCTAGTAGTTCTGCACAGTCTATATCCTCTTTGTCATCTTGCTCTTTATTCTTGAGAAAGAAAAGAATTAAGCTGATTGATCATCACAGGTCTGCTTTATTATTGCACCTCACTATTTTAATTTGTCTCACTGACAGGGTTTGGACTTGTTCAAATGAACAGTCTAGTACTGTACATGCATGTAAGCTTCTTAAAACCAAAAGAATGTAATTCTAGGAAGGTTTCTTCTATTTTACATTTTAAGAACAGTGAGAAATGCATTTAGCTCCAGAAGAGTCCCCACCACTTACAGTGTAACTATAAGCTTTTTTTCCAAAAAGGTCTACGATATTCCTATCTCACAGGAAGACAACCTTAAATTTGCATGTTTATGTTGTAGTTAATTTTTTATCTCAGGTAATTTTTATTTCTCCTTTGTTTCAATGCCATCACCATACATTACCATACCCAAAAACAAAAGAAAAACAAAAATTACCTGAGATAAAAAATTAACCACAACATATATAAAAAGTAACTGCTTGAGAAAAGGGGCAGGGGGAAATATCTACAGTTTGTATTGATGCATACACTGTATCGCCACCTTGGGGCAGTGAAATGACATTCCCTGGCATGGGGAATACATATAAGGCTAGATAATGGTATCTACCACTGACAGGCAAAGGTCAACTTCTACAAACTGGAAATAGGCAACCTCCCCCTTGACCGTTTAATGGGAAAAAGGAGACTACAAAAATAACCTTTATGTACTTAATCGATAAAGTAAAATAAAAAAAATGGATGAAGATCTAAAACAGCACAGCAAAGACACTGTTAATGTACTGTTATTCAATGTCATATTATTTATCTGGTAAATTTGCACTGTTTTGGTAACAAGTTGTTTTTTTGTGGGGTGGGGTTGTTTGCCCCGTGCCCAAACCCCAACCTGGAGGACCAGGTGCTGACTTTTAGTCTGTACTTTTCTCTCTAACCTGCCCGGCTTGGTTGGACCTGCCAGGAGCTTAAGTCCCAGCCCCCTGGTACAGCTCACAGCATCGTTAAGGCCTGCAAGCTCCCCCACCATAACAAGGTAACAGCACACAGCACACTGAGGAGCTTATGTCTTAGTCACAGTAACGCAGGGGTTTCCGGCGGTCTACTGCCGCCTGTAGGACCTCTTACCGCCGTCTGTGTTTTCCCCCCTAGGGGAAAGGGGCCGTACAGCTGCCTATAAAACCTTCCTTCTTGAAACCCCTGGTAACAAGGATGAGTGAGTGAAATTTGCACTGACTGCCCCTTCTTTTCTCATTCCCTCACCTAAGTGTGCAGTGCTCAGTCAGTCACATATGACAACTCTCCCAGATGTGGCACCAATTCCCCGCTCTCCCACAAGGGTCAACAAATCTTGCAAATAAAGTCGACTTGTAGAGCTTTTCTGGGCTTTAGCTTGGAATTTACTCTGTTTCCTCAAAATCTAAAAATGTTTTTGATTCATAGTACGGTTTCTGGGCATTCTTGCATGAGTTTTATCACTGACAAAGATTATTACCGTGAAACTCACAATACTGTGAACACCAGAAATATTCATGGAATGTTACTATAAATGTTACTGTGTTGTGAAGAGAAAGCCAATAAAGAGTGAGAAACCTACATCGCAAACAGCAACAGTAGCTAGTTTGTGGTTTTGTGGTTTACTCGCATGTCCTGAAATTGATTGTGATTGGTCACTACACAATCAACATGCCTGAAAATTTTCAGCCATTCACAGTTTTCTGAGTTTGACAGTAATTTTGTTATGATAAAAGCAAACTTTGATGGTATGTGCTTCATATAAGACTTCATAATTCAAATGTCCAACACATTTTCCATGTTACAATTTGGAGACTGTGTCAATTTGTGCTTATCAGNTTGGGGGGGGGGGGGGGGGAGGGAGGGGGTCTGTTGATATTTGGCAGAGGGGAGGGGGGGGTTAATGCAAACAGAGAGGTTCTCCAAATTTTAGATCCCCAGAGGTTGGCATCTCTGTTAGGGAACCTTGGCATATCTGTTAGAATACATACACAAACTTGACGTCTCGACTTGAATCTTGATTTCTTTTTAGGTGGAAAACCAGGATCTGCTTGGCTAGGAGGCTGCAATGTTGGAAGCCCTTTAGAAAGATTATAAATCACATTTTAAGCTTACATGTGTTTAATAGCACGTCAAAAAGTTACAAGTTGAATTGCAGTTTTTTGCGTGGGCTTGGGAATAATGACCTATGCAATTTGGTGTGTTGTTTTCTATTACTTTTCTCCTCACTTATTGAAAATGACATGCATATGCAATAAGACATCTGTTACCTTCGAAAGTAACGACGTCCCTTTCTACTTCGGGTGCAGACGGAGAAACGCGCTTTCCTCCTGCCGATGCAGGGCGACTCTCTCCTTCATTATTCGAACGAAAGACAGTGGCTGATGGGTTTAAACGACCTGTTAGGAACTCCTCTTGAAAACGAAGCAGATCGCTTTCTGTGTCTTCTGTTCCAGGCCTGGAAAACATCCTGAACTTCCTGAATGTGCTTCCATACAAAATGACCGATTACCCATTCATGTAACTCTATCACAAAAATTGCTGCTTACATCATGTCATATAATCGCAACAAAGTGTTCCTCGATAGGGGCGCTTTATCGCCTTTCGCGAGTACCGTTTTTGTATGGTTCGTTTGATATTTCAAAGCTTTTGAAACTAATAAAAGTTAATTAAGAATAAGCTTATATCGGTTTCTCGCGATTTTACCATATAACGGTTTCCGCTGTACAACATACACACCGAATTCCTGCTTGGGTGTCCTGTGACATTTCATGCATATATTTAAAATGGCGGACGAGCTGGAAGGACTTCGGCGGGAGATTGAAGAAAAATCTTTGGAGCTTGAATCATTAAAAAACCTGTTAGCCCTCAAGGTAAGGAATGTTAATTGATGAATAGAATGCAACAGTTTGTAGAGGCATTAAGCGATTTTATTGCAAGGCCCTGTGCCCACCCCTTTTGTGCAATTATAAAGCTTCATTATATATGTTTGTTCATTGGTTTGTTCTTCTTGATCGAATGCAACGTGGGTTTCAAAAAGGGACGCGATTTTCGTTTGTATTCAACAGTTTGCAAATGTTCACCCAGGACCTTCTCAAGTACTGTAATAGGGTCAAAGCGCAGAGTGCAGGGTTGCTTTAATTTATTATGTGTCTCTTAAAAAATAATGTAATTATGTCATCCTTTCTTTAGAAAACTTGAAATACTTCATGGTCTGTGTTTTTACAGGAAAAAGAGTATGCTAGCCATGCCCTAAATGGGTGTCCTCCAGCATCTAACAGTTCCAGTTTTATAGAACCCCGCAAGAAAGACAAATTAAATAACAGGGATATTTTGCGGTATAGCAGGCAACTGATATTACCAGAGATTGGTGTTAAAGGTATGGAGTTATTAAAGAGAAACAGAAGTTAATTTCATTTTCATGTTTATGGTGTTGTTGTCAACCCTTTCATTTCCAAAGTCAATTTAATATTGAGGGACAAAATGTTGTTACAACTCTGTGGATGAAAACCTCGACTTGAGCATTTCCATTATGTGCCAGCTCTCCCAAAGTACCTGGGAGCATCCTGAATTTGGCACAAAATCTTGTGGTCTATTCTTTTTTTTTACCACATTGTATATAAAATGACCTTAAGGATTTTCCTGAAATTTTCATATTGATATTGTTTGGCATGAAAGAGTTGAAAAACACAAAATTATATTGAAAGTCACCATGACAGCAAATGACATGCCATCATTATTTTAAATTTGGAGTATTGCTGGCCTCTTATGATTAGCTCGGAAATTTCATTCTTTCTAGCTGTGATATACCTCATACCCCTAGTCTCATGTGATGCATTTTTTTTCCCAGGACAGATACACTTGTACAATACATCAGTACTCATTGTAGGAGCCGGTGGTCTTGGGTGTCCTATGGCACAGTATTTAGCAGCCGCTGGAGTAGGTATGCGTTTTGCCACTTAAGAAATAAGAGAACTGACAGTGTAGTGTGTTCAGATCAATTCAGGTTTTTGGGAAGCTGCCCACCTACCCCTCCCCTAAGTCATCATTTTGCCCTTAGTGAGAAGTAAGAGTTAATGTTAGCTTAGGGGAGGGGTAGGTGGGCAGTTTCCCAGAAACCTGAATTGATCCGTTCATTCTGCGATATTCATTGTTTCTGGGATCGTTATTGGGGGCACACCACTCCAGCCTCCTACATGTGATAACAGTCCTAGAAGTCTGCACGATGGTTAATTAACTGTGGCCATTCTCCCACTTGTCTCTGAAGTGGCGAATGAATAATGATACAACTTTTTTTATCCTCAAACAGTTTCTCATAGAAAGGTCTCAATGGGGTGGTAGCTTTGACGATTCACAGTTATTTTTTTTTTTCCAAAATTGACAGCTGAAGGTTAATTTTTAGAGCTTTTGACATTTGATGGTTGTAAATTAAATGGAAATTTATTCCAAAAGTTAAAGTAATTATTTACTTTTGTATGAATTAATATTAGCTGAACTGTGTTTTAGAGGTTGTCTTGGCTTAAATTCACTTGTAAACTTTCAAAAACTTTTCAGATATAATCAGGTTGTTAGGTATTGTAATAGAAAGAGTGTTTCTGAGAACATGGAAACTGGTTTTTCCAGTTTAGAAATTCTTTAGGAACTGGAATGCCATGAAGGTCAACTGAAATAGTGAGATTTGAAACACTTTGAAGCTTTTTGACGGTTAATCGTAGGCTGCTTTTTTGATGTTGATGGTAGAAAACAACCTTTTTTGATGGTTGATGGTTAATTTTTAGGCCATTTAATGACTGACGGTTACTTCATTGGGACCCTTTCATAGTAGTTTTTTTTCCTCCATGCACTCTCGTTTGCTAAGCACACAATTATGAAGAAGGCTTGATAGAGAAGGTACAGGGGGGACTTTTTTAATTTTATTCTTGAGACAGTGACACAGTGCCTGTACATGTGTAGTGCTAAACAAATTTAAAAGAGAAGGGGGTTAATGATGGAATTACAGTATAGGGCTGATCTTAAAAAGAGAACTATAACACTGACTTGTGTTGGATTGCATATTACTTTAAAATAATTATTAAATTGTTCTTGATGTAGTGGTTAAGAAGCCAGTTCACTTATTTTGAACCCTGTTATTCTCAATGGTGCCAACATCTCAATTCAACAAAAATTTCAAATTTACTTTCAAAAATTGTGGAAAAATATTGAAGAGAAAATAGTTTAATTTGAGTGAAGACAGAAAGGTATCATTAATTTTGAATTGTGATATCAAAGGATGTCATTCAAAACTTAAAAGAACCAGGCAGACAATCGTAAATTTGCAATGGTCTGTACGTCACATCATGACTTCTTCCTGATCTCAATACATTCAGAGCAATTCAGAGTAAATAGGTTGCATGACAATTACTCTTATATCAAAGAGTCTGGATTTTCGGCCTTTGCTTAAATTCAGTTGAGTTTAGGAGAGCCAAATGATTTTTCTTTAAAGGTGTTTTGGAATTGAATTTTCAGTTGGTGTACTGTTGCAGGTTGCATAGGAATTGTTGACTATGACACAGTGGAAATAAGCAATCTTCATCGACAAGTTCTTCACACAGAAGGCAGGGTGAACATCTCCAAAGCCGAATCTATTAAAATCCAGTTAAATCAGTAAGATGTTGTCTTTAAAATTAATATTTGATATCCATAATGACAAGTACCAATAACAACCTCCTAGTGAAATAAAGCTGTCGTTGTTTTTATTAAGGTTACCTGCCGTAAAAAGGTATCTATAGTGTAGTTAAATTCATAAATGCTTAATTATCTTCTCCTGTTATGGAGCTATTTGGGGAAAATCAAATCTGGGACTACTAAGACCAAATTCAGCTAGCTGTTAGGCCAGGACTTGAACTTGGGGGCCTGCCGAGTCCAGCTCTCTAATCAATTGGCCATTTTCACCAGAAACTCAATACAAACAGTTTGAGTTCCACTACCCCATCAACACAGTGCATCATGATTTCTTCATAGAAACCAACCCTTTTATTCATCTCTTCAATTTATTAGGTAGGTGTTTATACTTTGGATCTCTACTAGTACCATTACATTCAGAATTGAATGGACACACAAAGCAGCTTCCAGAATGTTACAACTAATATTTCTCTTTGCTCAGTATCTACATGCAAGCACTACCTTTTCTGGTCTTATTAATTTTTACTTTACTTTTCATTTATTATCAGGTTGAACTCAACTGTCAAGTGCATACCATACAATTTGCAGCTTACAAGCAGTAATGCTCTAGAAATAATTGAAAAATATCCTTTTATGTTTACACCACTTTTTTATTATTGTCTTTTAATTTTAAGAGTGCCTACAGTTCATTCGGTTCATTTCGAGTATTTTATTCCTTAATTAACAAACATATGATATTGTGTTAGATGCAACAGACAATGTGGCTACCAGGTAAAGTTGGATTTACTTCTAATCAGCGTGATGTATGCATTTAGTCTTTATCCAGGGCTGGAAAAAATCTTGAAATCTAGCTTGTCCGTTGGGTAAGCAGCTCTCACATTTTGCTTGTCTGAGACCATTTCTTGCTTGTCACAGCTAGTTATTTTGGCATTGGATGACTTGCCCAGACCCTTGCCCATTAAATCTTACTTGCCCAGCAAGAAAATCTGCTTGTGCCAGGCTACTGATTGGGACTTTTTTTCAAGGCATTTTCATTATCACTAACATGATACAGGTTGTTTTGCGATTAGCAAGCAACATTTCATATTTGATGAACTTGCCTTTTTTAACCAACTTGTCATATAGACAATCAGAGTATTCATTAGGCGTCGGAGATTGGAGAATTCTCTGTTCACTATGCAGAATTCCCTGGCCAACATTCGGTAGCCTATGACAATTTTTATTCAGACATGGGGACTCTTTCAGAATACTCTTGTGTACAACACCTTCATCCTGCTAGTAGAATTCTTATTGTATTTTTATCAGGACATGATAAAATGTGTTCAGATGATTTCTGTAAAAACAAACAGCTCCCCTCATCTTCCCCACCCCCAGTTATGAACATATAGACCCTTTGCAGCTCACACTTCAAATTCATGTGACCTGCTTGATCCAAAAGTTATGGGATAAAACTTAAACAATACAGGAGATGGAAAGGGTGTTAGAAAACTAGCTTGAAAAGAAAACCAGAAGTGATTGATACAAAGGAATAAGATTTTATGGCTGTTGGAATAATATTATTATGGTCTACAAAGTTTAAGGGTTTATAATGGAAGAAATTCAAATGACCGTGAAATCAAACGGCATGTGAAGAGTATAAATCAAACCTACCGGTGAAATTATATTTGGCAAACCCATCATTTGTGTTATGGTCTTTAAATCTCTCCCGCGTATTTGCATCCCATAATTTTGGGAAAGGCCATATTTAAACAAAGCTTAGAGTGAGGTCTATGTGCATTCTCAAGGGTCACATTGAAAATTAAAAAGTAAGTATATGTTACAGGTGAAAATTAAATCCAGGTTAAAAATTTTTTAACCTAGATTGATTTTCAATTTCCTTTGTCTCCTAGCCCTAATTCATGAATAGTTACAGCTCAGAGACAAAGGAAATAGAGAATCAACCTAGGTTGAACAATTATTTTAACCTGAATTTAATTTTGACCTGTAACATAATTATACATCATGTGGTCTAATTTAGTTAATATCATATAGACAATCAGAGTATTCATTAGGCGTCGGAGATTGGAGAATTCTCTGTTCACTATGCAGAATTCCCTGGCCAACATTCGGTAGTCTATGACAATTTTTATTCAGACATAGGGACTCTTTCAGAATACTCTTGTGTACAACACCTTCATCCTGCTAGTAGAATTCTTATTGTATTTTTATCAGGACATGATAAAATGTGTTCAGATGATTTCTGTAAAAACAAACAGCTCCCCTCATCTTCCCCACCCCCAGTTATGAACATATAGACCCTTTGCAGCTCACACTTCAAATTCATGTGACCTGCTTGATCCAAAAGTTATGGGATAAAACTTAAACAATACAGGAGATGGAAAGGGTGTTAGAAAACTAGCTTGAAAAGAAAACCAGAAGTGATTGATACAAAGGAATAAGATTTTATGGCTGTTGGAATAATATTATTATGGTCTACAAAGTTTAAGGGTTTATAATGGAAGAAATTCAACTGACCGTGAAATCAAACGGCATCGAAGAGTATAAATCAAACCTACCGGTGAAATTATATTTGGCAAACCCATCATTTGTGTTATGGTCTTTAAATCTCTCCCGCGTATTTGCATCCCATAATTTTGGGAAAGGCCATATTTAAACAAAGCTTAGAGTGAGGTCTATGTGCATTCTCAAGGGTCACATTGAAAATTAAAAAGTAAGTATATGTTACAGGTGAAAATTAAATCCAGGTTAAAAATTTTTTAACCTAGATTGATTTTCAATTTCCTTTGTCTCCTAGCCCTAATTCATGAATAGTTACAGCTCAGAGACAAAGGAAATAGAGAATCAACCTAGGTTGAACAATTATTTTAACCTGAATTTAATTTTGACCTGTAACATAATTATACATCATGTGGTCTAATTTAGTTAATATCATATAGACAATCAGAGTATTCATTAGGCGTCGGAGATTGGAGAATTCTCTGTTCACTATGCAGAATTCCCTGGCCAACATTCGGTAGTCTATGACAATTTTTATTCAGACATAGGGACTCTTTCAGAATACTCTTGTGTACAACACCTTCATCCTGCTAGTAGAATTCTTATTGTATTTTTATCAGGACATGATAAAATGTGTTCAGATGATTTCTGTAAAAACAAACAGCTCCCCTCATCTTCTTAGTGGTTAAGAAGCCAGTTCACTTATTTTGAACCCTGTTATTCTCAATGGTGCCAACATCTCAATTCAACAAAAATTTCAAATTTACTTTCAAAAATTGTGGAAAAATATTGAAGAGAAAATAGTT